TGAGCTGTTCCCTCTTTAACTAACGCTTTAGAAAAAATTAGAAGGGGTTGAAAAGATGGCTCAGTTGGTAAAGTTGCACAAGCATGAGGACCTGATCTTAGATCCCCAGCACCCACATAATAGTTGAGCACACTACTGTGCTTCTATAACCTCAGCACTGGGGTACAAAGATGGGTAGATCCCTGAAGCTCAATGACCAGATACCTTAGATAAATTAATGAGTCCAAGTTCATGGAGAGACTCTGTCTCAAAAATTAAGATGAAGAATGAGCAAAGAAGACATCCTGTATCAGCCTCTGGCCTTCACATGTGCCCACATCTACACAAACACATACATAACCCACACACAGAGACAAAAAAAATTTAAGAAAATAAATAGAAAAATGAAAAGAATCATAGCTGAAATCTAAAAATGATTGTTCATAGTCGGCATAGTGGTACATGCCTATATTCCCGGTACTCAGAAGACGACAGTAGGAGGATCACAAGTTGGAGGCCAACTTGAGCTACAAAGATCCTATTATAATAAAACTAAGAAATTATTTTTATAGAAATAGAGAGTAGAAAGGCAATGGGGATGGTCAGTCAATTGTACAAAGTTATAAGCATATAGGAGGAGTAAATTCTGGTGGTCTATTCCACTACTGGGAGGCTATTCTTTTTAAATATTTTGTTTATTATTTTTATGTGTATGAGTATATTTCTTGTATGTATGTAAGTCACCTGTGTCATACAATGCCTGTGGAGGTGAAAAGAGAGTGTCAGATTCCCCTGGAACTGGAGTTACAGATGGTTGTTAGCCATCACGTGGGTGCTGGGAATCAAATGCAAATCCTCTGTAAGAGCAGCCAGTGCTCATAACCACTGAGTCATCTCTCCAGCCCTAGGAGGCTATTCTTAACAAGAATGTATCACGGATTTCTAAATAGCTAAACGAGCAATGTTTGAATAGTCTCACCAGAAAGAAAAGGTAAATTCATGAGGTGATGGGTGGATCCTGATTTGATCATTACACAACATAAACATATATATGAAACATCAACTCATCACCCATAAATAAGTACAATTCAAGATGTCAATTAAAGATGAAATTCAAATAAAGTCCTCTGAGAATAAGAGTTATTTTATTTTTTAAATATTTTATTTATTATTTTTGTCTTATGTATGCATGCATGTAAGAAAAATCCCACTTCACCCTCTCAAGTTCTGAAATTACAGGTGTGTGCAATCACACCCAACTTGAAACATTGATTTGAACCCTTAAATATTATGAGTCTCCCACTGAGACTAGGTTGTTTAGATATAATTTGCAGGCTAAAGCAGTGATAGAGTTTGTGGTGCTGGCTATTTATCAGGAATAAAGACTTCTATAGGGAGAAGAACATGTAGGTAGAAAGGGAACCTTGTGGAAAGATCTGGAACCAGGAGTATTCATAAAAGTTGTCCTTCACTGGGCCAAGAGAACCAGGCCTCTACTGGGCACTGGATATTAGTTTTCCTGAGAAGAGCACATCCTTGAGTATATCTTTGGGCAAGTTGACTCTGAAGATGAGGCAGCCCCTGAGAGATTAACAAATGATGCAATGAGCCCTTCCTTGAAGGTTAAACTGGTTGGTACATTTCCATGTTTGCCGTAACTGTCCATTTTAAAATGGTCTGTCTACCATGAGAAGATAGCATTGACATTTGAGTATACAGAATGATTTTAGCAAGACCTTTCAAATCATATTCCATATAACATAAGAGAAAAGATGTATGCTCACATTTACTTAGAATAGACTCGAACACTTTATTCACATAGTGAAGACTTAGAGGAAGACAGAGCATCTAACACAGACATATTAACATAGACTTGTTAGCGTATGATGTTATTTTCTCATGAAACACTGTCCTTCAGAAATTGTGGCTGCTACTTGCTTCAGTGGAATCAGGCATTGTTAAGCAAAGACCTCTCTCTTCCTATAGTGTTACTATACAATTATGAACAAAACTCTTTCCAACCCCAAGATTTTCCATTGTCCTTGCTGCTGAAGGGAGCAGGTATAAAACTGTCCATCAGGATGCATCTGTACCCTACAGTCATGAAGGGGAAACTATCAGCAGGATATGGCTTCCCTTTCCAAACTAATGCTTCCAATGTACCTTCACCACCTCTTCTAGCCCTAAGATTAGGGCTTCCATTGTGGTTAACTCGCTTGCTCAAGGGTACATATTTCAGTGAGGCCTGAAGCGATAACCAAAAGTAAATTCGTATTTTAATTCCTGCAAGATCACAATAAAGAAATATACTTACTGAAACAATTTGTCTTTTAACCTGAATGCACATGTAGCCTGCTCTGTCTAACAACAAATAATGTACTGAGTAGCTTGGCAAGCACCGAGTTTAAAAGAAATTGGACCATCATTTCCTCAAGACCAACAAAGGTTGGCTTGTCTTTTCTTCTAAGCTTTGGGAGAAAGTTCAAGAACTTACTGTATGTATAAGACTTAAGGAATAGGTCTGGGAAGCCAGGATGTCAAGAAAATCAATGAAGCTCAGAACCCGTGTCTTCCACTGCAATAACATCCCATTATTATCAAGTGCTAATAAAGGATGAGGTTCAGATTAGTTTATAGGAGGATTTTCCTCCACCATTAGGAATTAACATACAGATTTCTAAGTTGTAAGATACAAAACAACACATTTTCATTTCCTTTTCTCACGCATAGTAAATGGGAAAGGCAAGTGAACATTCTTCAGGCATTCCAAGAATAGTGTTCATAACTGATCAGTGTTTTCATTTGGCTCTTTCCCTATCCTTAGGGGTAAACACTAAAATAAGACTAAATATGTTTAACTTTTTAAAGATTTAATACAAATTCCATAGTAACTTAATAGCCAATAATATTTTAATTCTCTGTGTTCCCAGGGGAACTTGAAGGGTATTTAAGGGGAAATGTAACTCTTTCATGTCTTTTTGAGGTTTGGTATGTCCTCACTAAACTTCACTCTCTACACTCTTTTCCAGTCCAGTCATTGTATCCAGCACCCAAGATCCTAAAAGATACATGGTATCATTGATGGATGGAAAAAGGGTAGCAGTCATGGCTACGGCCAGAAGGAAGCTTGGCTTCTAGTTCCAAATCCAAGACTAAGTGAGTGACTTTGAGTAGGTTTTTGGACTTCTTTGGGCAACTTTTTGTTCATTTATTTAAAGGAGATGATGCTGGATTCTTTCTAAAGACACTCTAATGTTCCAAGTATTTTTTTTTTCTTATTTCTTATGTAGGAAGATTTCATGGTAGACCATGTTGTGAAACTTGAAGGAACCATTTTCCATGACTTCTGGAGATGTTAGAAATATGAGTCATATAACGTCCTCCCCTACAGTCACAAATACTTAAGAAGTAAGGAAAGACTGCAGTTTAGGTGGTATATGGTATAGATTCTTAAAGCCAAATGAGATTTCAAAGCCAAGAAGAGACATTTTAAGGTTAGAAATATTGTTTCTACTTTAAAAAAAAAATGATATGGTTTAGCCGGGCATGGTGGTGCATGCCTTTAATCCCAGCACTTGGGAGGCAGAGGCAGGTGGATCTCTGTGAATTCAATTCCGGCCTGGTCTACATAGCATGTTCCAGGCCAGCTGGGACTATAGGGAGACCCTGTCTCAAAAAGACCAAAAAAAGAAAAAGATATAGTTATTTTGTTTGTGTGTATGTCTCTTTCCCTGTTTGTGTATATGCTTCCGTGTCTGTGTATCTATGTCTGTGTGTACATGAATGGGTTCCCATATAGGCCAGAAGGAGGTGTAGGATCCCTTGGAGCTAGAGTTGTAGGCATTTGTCAGCAGCCTGATGTGAGTGCTGCCGTCCAAACTCCAGTCTTCTGAAAGTGCAGTAAGCACTGAGCTATCTCCAACATCATTTCTACTTCCTGATTGGTAGCATGAAAGAACAGCCATAAATGTGGCCAGCAATGAAACTTTCATCATCTGGCAAGACATATAAACATTTGGCCGGGTGTGGTGGTATACTATGGAGGCTGCTACAAAAGAGTTCAGAGCTCAAGGCCAGCCTGTGCAACAACATGTAAGATCTTATCTCAAAAGCTGGTTGTGTAACCATTTACCTTTCAGTATTAGATTTAGTTCTATGAAAAATTTTCTCTTCATATAGTGCTCTAAATGGTTATTTTTAATTTGTTTTCAGGACAAGGAACTCTTTCAATTCAATGGACTGTGTGGCTCTATCACCATGAAGATTAAAATCAAGTTCAAAATTTTTATTTTGTTTCAAAGTCATGAATACAAATTTAACCCTGATGGCTTTCTTAAAACTGTGAGAAAATGGTGTCAAAGAGTGTAGAAAATCATCATCTCTGAAGGAAAAGTAATTCACAGGTTAGCTGTGATAACAGTGAGGGCATTGTCATTTTTGGTTAGTCGGGACAGCACAGTGTCAAGGTTTCCCTGGAAACTGAATTGCCTGTTGGGGTTCATATTGACATGCTTATAGTGGACATAACACTACACCAGTGCCACAAGTAGTCCTGTCATGCTCAGGAATATCATAAAACTATCATTAGGTCTGGAGCACAAGACCATCAATGGCACAAAAAACTGTTACTTGTGAATTCTGTCCTCCTGTTGGTTTTGTAGACTTCACTTATGTATACTTAATCTTTTCTGAGAAAAATGACGAGATCGAAAAAAGGAGTTGACATCTCTGTTTCACACCACAGTAACTAAGGAAGCCAGAATGTATCAGATTTTGTACTGAAATTTGAGATCAACAGCCAAGCTTCATGAACCCCTACCACCACAGTACATTAATTCAAAAAAGTCTCCATCATGTATTCTGGAACTCAATATCCTTCTTATTTTCAACCCCTTTACCATATCATTGGAGCTATCCAAGCAGTAGCTACATGGATCTTGTATCCATATCATAGAAGGCTATTGAAGAAGAGAAAGAGGAAGAGGAGGAAGAGGAGGAGAGGAAAACAATAGTACTTACACAATCAAAATTTTGAAGATACTCTTTATTTCAAAACGTGGGATCAACTCAAAATATGAGCCTCAAGGACCAAGGTATATTGGAACCAAATATTTAGAAGGCAAGCAAGGTCACCATTATGGCAACAAGCCTCACATGGACAGGTAGATGTTAGAGAATGATGGCCAAGACACAGCTAAAGCTATGGCACATTCACAAATAGATTCATCCTTGCTTGTCTAATTCTCATGCATGAGTAAGGTGCATTCTCCATACCTCTAGTGATGCATGCCTTCTCCAGAGTCAGTGCAGGATCTGTCTGTGTGCATGCAAGTCTTTGAAAGCCTGCTTCCTGGCAAAATTTTACCATAGCTTACCCGCAAAAGCCTTCAGATGACAAATTCCTTATGCTACCTGTACATCCCGAAAGTCATTTCTGAATAATAATTATAACTGCCAAGATTTCTATAATCACATAAAAGAATTCGCTTGTTCATTATTTTAATGTCAGTTAGCTGTCTGTGAGTAAACCTCGCTGAACATAGCTGCATAGCTGGTGTCCAAAATGTGAAATTGGTAACCTTTAGAGGCAGGGGTAACCTTAGACCAAAATTAGAACATGAAACAACAACGGAAGATGTCCTAGGAAGAGTTGAGCAAATTCTTCCCTAATATGCACCAAATAGGGATAGCCTGACACACTCTTGCACAGGAGCCCACATTTTCCCACTATTGCAGAATTGTCAGAAACCCAAACCACATTCAGAGCTAACATGGGAAATGCCTGAATCTGAAAAGTAACCAAAAGAAATTCTATCAGGGAAAGGAGATGGGAACTGAAAACAAATTTGACAGAGTCTTTCTGTCAAAAAGCGCATTGAGTCTTCATTACTAGAATGTGCACAATCCTGTGGGAATTGCTGCATATTTATATGCCTTAACTCTTTTCTTGCCAGTCCTTCTTTGGCTGGTTGAACTGCTTCTGTTGTTGTCCCAGCAGAAGCCACTGAGCAGCAAGCCTCAAGAGCTGCATTCATCACAGTGACAGGAGAGGATATACCGGTAGGTGGCAGTGAGTCGCATGCCCCCTGAGCAGCGCAGACGCAGAGCCTTCAGCTTGGAGGTTTGGGGCCGACAGCAGTGACAGGAGGAACGGAAAGGTTGCTTTAGGACAGAGCTGAAGGACACCAATGGCTCCGAGCGCGATGCCTGGCTGCAGTGCCCCTCGCATCTAGCCAGGAGCACCATCTGAAGAAACAAGAGGAGAAACAAGACGAGGTGGTTACTCTGCAGATGTCAAAATCTCAGCCAGGTACCACTGCATCCTTTGGAAAACCCTAATATTGGCCAATTTCAGCTAGGTTGGCCTAGTGGTTACACATTGGAATCAACTGGTAAACCTAAAAGAGTATGTATGAAGAGATGTATCTCAGTGGTAGGACACTTTTCTAGTATGTCGAAGGCCAGGGGTTCAATCCCCACTACAGGAGGTAGCCAGTCAACACCAGCCCCAGCTCAAACCATTTTGAATTAAAACACTTGGGGTAGGGCCCAAGTTTTCATGATCTCCAAGACTCTTTAGGTGACTGTGAAGTACATCGAGGGCTTAGAACCACTGAACAAGATCCAACACCATGCTGTGCAGAAAAAAAATCCAGAAACAGGCCTGGTAATGTAGCTCAGGTGGGAGAGTGCTTGCCTAGTGCACATGAAGCCCTGGGCTCAGTCCCTAACATTATACAAACCATGTGTGGTGGTGCACACATGTAATCATAGAACTTAAGAGGTAGAGGCAGGAGGATCAGGAGTTTAAGGTCATCGTCAAATACATAGTGAGTTCAAGGCCATCGTGGACTGGCACCTTGTCTCAAAAAATAGAAAACAAAACAAATATCCAAGAACAAAGTAAATTTCTACTGAAATTTATTGACCCAATGTATTGCAGTTATACCAACAACAACATGCATAAAGCCACTGCAAATTGAAATCTAGGAGTAAACAGAGAGTGACTGGAAAAAAAATTGTTCTATGGGGAATAGATAAACAAAAGGAATGTGGTCTCTTGAGGAAGAAAAAGGAGTAAGCTAATCGATGCCTAGGAAGAAATATTCTAGGTGCTGCAGCTTAGAACAAGAGGATGAAGTAGAGACAGGGTATGTTTGGGGGGTCTGGAGTACACACCTATGGTTATACCTTTAAAAACAGCCTATGATTTGTTCAATTTAATGAGAATCTTCAGAGTCATTTAGATCAAATTCAGTTTGATCCTCTTTATTTCTAAACTTTTGGGACAATCTAGTAGAGGTTGCATGTTCTTAATAGTAGGTAGACTTTGATAATAGTAAGCAAATTAAGATTTTGATTCAAAAGGACCGAATTTATCCTCAGAAACATGCTCATACAGAACATTTTCCACACAGCTTAAAAAGATGGACAAAAGGCTCTTTTTTTAAGAGTGAAGAAATGTTTGTCACCTGCAGCAGGTAGAAAGAGCACAGGAAATATTTCCAAAGTAATGTCCTTCCCAGACAAAGGAAGCCTATGTATAGTCATATTGGAAAGCATGTTAGGGGCGGGCACATTCCTGAACAGGCGGAGTATATGAAGAATATTCCTCAGCACACTCAGTTTAAGGTCATAGTTCAAGAAGGAGAGACATTAGACAAATTGCTGGACATGATCAGCTCAAATTCATCTATCAAGTGTATATTCAAAGGGTTAACATGGTGGCCAAGAACACTTCTTGGCATGTTTAGTTTGAATTGTGAGGGTGGTGTATTAAGTATACTTGTTCAGATTTTTCAAAACTTTTGCCTGAAATGAAAGGAAAAGGTGTATTAAATGTGTTGATATGGAAATTTGCCCCTTCAAGGTCAAAAGGCATCTCATTTTTATGTCCCGTACAAAGATCCTGCTATCCTAGGGATGGAAGGCATAGTGGGGTAGAGCAGGGCAGCTTGATTCATGAAGCTCTATAACCTTATAGTTTGGGAGTTAGCAGTTAAAATTAAAGAGTACCTAACAATGATCTGATATCATCTTATAGGGCAAAATTAAATACCTAAAGATTAAAAACGATAATGGCAAGCACATCTTTCCAAAAGAGGGAAAGGATGACTTTTGAAAGCTATAGTCTATTAATATTTTCCGAAAAGATGCTGGGGGTAAATTCAACAATCAGTTAGCAAGTAGGAAGGGAATATGGGATCCTGGGGGTGGGGACAGCAGGACTAAGGGAAGAAAAAGTTCGACTTCTACTAGACTCACATTATTTTCTGTGAAAGATCACAAAGGGAGAGAGAAAGTGGCAACTGGGAGTTGTTTTATGCTTATTAAAGCTTTAGGTTGTTTGCTCTTCAAAATGACAAGCAAGATAAACATCATCTCAAATGGATTTGAGAGGTTTGACTGTAGGTCTGTAACACATGGGCAGGGCCCAGTGTCTACTCCCATCTTTCTGCCAGTACATAGGAGGGGCTACTCAATACCTCACCTTGAAACAGTGTAAAATTTGTTGCTCTAATCCAGCTCTGTTAGAGATTTAAGCAATAATTTAGTCACGTTCTAAAATGCAGTCTTTAGCAAGCAGGTTTGGTCCAAGTGGCTTAGCAAAAGTGTTCCACCAGAGAAAATTAAGAAGGGTCAAAGACAGTGAGGCGCATCACACCCCAACTAGACACATACATGTAAGTCAAAAACAACCCTAACTAACAAGGCTATTAGCTGTCCATAAAATGTCCAAGCCTGCAATATAGGGCAACTTCCACACAAGCAGATCTAATTGTGATTTCAATTTCGTTGAACATTTTCTGGGATGTCAAGCTCCTTGTCCAGCCCACTGTGAAGTACAAGATCTCTAACACTGAAGATTCTTGGTCTAACTCTAGTGGGCTTAGCCCCTTTTCTTTAGGAAGTAGACCTTCTGCACAAGAACACGTATCATGGCTGCCCCTAGCCTTCAAAATAAAACCCAAACTCCTGAACAGGAGTCAAGGTATTCTATGCCCCAGGTGTCAAGTATCTTCTCAGTCTGACTGCTGTTCTCATCACCCACTCCCGGCTCCAGTAAAGCTTAACTACATAGGAGTCCATGAGACTGCCCCCAAGTTCCCCTGCCTCTGTCTTTGTACATGTCTTCACTCACCCAGAAATGTCCTTTGCACTTGGCTCTGCCTCATGAAATCCCCCCTATATCCCTTGGTAGCTTACTCAAACACACCAGAGTAATTAATGGACCTTGGTGCTCTTAACATCCACACACATCCACAACGACACAACAAAGCCATCTTTATAATGTGAACTAGACATGCCCAGAAGCATCCGTTTCTACTATTTTAACCCTTAAAACATATGCTCCATGACTTTGTGCTGAGCATGCCCAGAAATGTGTCTACTATCTTTCTTTCTTTGACTTGAAAGATCTCAGGATACACATCAGGAGCAAGATTCATCCATGCCATTTTTCCCATTCCTTCTCTCACCATCAATCTCAATATATAACTATTCAGCACATGTCCAAGAATCCAGTTCAACCTTGAAACAGTCTGTGCCAGGCTGAGGTCAACAACAAAATGACAACCGGGGGAACAAAGTGGCATGGGAGTGGTGGGAGACTTGAACAGTTGGGTGGGGAATCAATTCATTCCAACTGGAGTCTGGTACTGTCACATGGGCCACAGATCAAGCTGACATGAAGAAACATGTGCACACAGAACACTTAGCTTCCCTGGATCCTGTTTACCTGCAAGCATTATGAGGGCCAAAACATTCTCTTCTTTTTTTCCTTTCTAATTTTTCTGTCTCTACACGGTGCCTGCATGTAATGGGCATTCAGTATATATTTGTTCTTATTTTAAAAATTAAGTCACCTCTCTCAAGTGATGAATTATGTTATACACTCAGTGTCCCTAATTCCCCTCATTCTTTCTGTGAGCTTCTTGGGCATCAGTACAGGATGGCTCAGAGATTGTAAGAGCTCCCTCCCAATACCAAGGCTCAGTCCTCGCCATAACAAATCACTTCTCTGGGAATTTTGGCAGGCTTTATCACCTGAATTCATCTCTTTCTTCTGTTTCTACCTATTGTCAAACCCTAATCCCCGTACCTCTTCACCTCTTGCTGCTCCTCTGGTCCTTAAGGGTTCAGGCTATTGCAACCTGATTATGCTCCCTTGCCTGGGGCCACCATCTCCTACTTCTCACCCAATTCGAACTTTACATATCTGCCCTGCCGATTCACTTTTCCACCTTGGGTCCCTGGTAAGGGTGTGGAACTCACCCCTGCATCTCTTCCATCCACCTGGTGAGGGAAGCCAGCCAGCAGAGTCTGTTCCAGTTTTATCCTCCCTCCCTCTTAGCAGACAGCACTGTGGCTTACATTTACTTTGCTCTTCTGCCTTTTCCATAGCCCATTCCCACCCCCATATCCAACAGAACCATGAGAGTTCATTTTCCTAATCCTTTAAGGCTGTGAGGATCTAAACAGTTATTGAAGTTTCAATAGTGACTGAAATAGAAAAGTGAGTTGAAACACCTGTCTAGTTTATAACTTCATCATCAGGATCATAAGAGCATTTATTAAATGTCTATTGTATGCCAGGTACTGTGCTGGCTGCTTTACAAATATTACCACCTCAGGCAAGAAGCTCCATTTGCATGGGAAGAAACTGAGGCACCAAACAATGACGTAGCTTTCCTGAAGTCACCATTTAGAAAGCTATGGAGCTAGAATGGAAAACAGATCTCTGCTACCTCGGAGTCTTTAACGTGCTCAGCCCATTTCCTCTAACTACAGACCTTCAGCCTGTTTGCTCTATGGCCTTTACTCAAAATTTCTGGGAAATTTGGTCTTTTGGGAAGATTAGAAATGAATGTGCCACTCCGAGGACCTTTTGGAATCAGTCTCTTGAGGTAACACCATTAATAATCAAAGCGATGGCCACTCTGTTCTCCTTGGTGAATGTGTCTTTTCTGCCTGACTCTTAGTTAGTCCCTGAATTTCTAGGAGAGGGGTGACAGGACCAGAAACTGGCCAACTGTGATTTCAGAGCCTCAGTAGACAAGAGTCCCACTGAAGGTGTCCAGAAAAGAATTTCTATTACCTCCTTTTTTCCAAAAAAAAAAATTACAGAGTAGAAATCATTATTGCAGGCAACTCAAAAGCTTGGCTTGGAGTCTGCACAATGCTTCCTCCATTCTTCTTCCATTTCTTAAATATGAGAAGCCAGGTACTGGAAAGATCATCCCTCCAAGGCAGACATTGCCAGTCCTGGCTCTATGGCATCAAGCAACCTACTTAATCCTTTTTTTCTAGGTTTAGGTTTTCCTTACTTGTAAAATGAGAATGAAAACGCCTGCATGACAGGTTTGTTGGCAACCATCAGTGCATATGTTGTAAAGTGTCTGACACAGATTAGGTGTTCAAGTCAGTGTGCTCCTTTCCCTGGGTCACATGGACCTTCCATCTGTCTTCACAAGGCCAGACACTGGATACATGTAAGTCTGGAGCATTAACTGATAGGCAAACAGTAGACACGTATCTAGTAAATAATGGCCTTGACCATGATGCTGAAGAACAATGTTTCTGGAGATGAAAAATCTACCCCAATATCTTCTTTCTAAGCATAGGCTAATATTTTATCTCAATATTTTGAAGGAAAACAAGTTCATTTGATGTGATCCATCGGAAAGATTATCAGCCTTAGCCTCTGAAAGTTAAGAACTATAGAGTATTCTCAAAAGAAAATACTTTTCTTCCGGATACAAAAGGAAAATTTAACCCAGAAAGGGTCTGGGTAGTTAAAATTCTTCCAGGCATATTTAATGGCCAAAAAAGGAAGGTTTATAATTACAAGCACCATTTACATAAAACCATTGCTATATTTGGGATAGTTTGGGATGTTTGAAAACAGATTGTTCCCATGAAATTACAAACATTTCTTGTGTTATCACAATTTTACACTGCTATTTGCTGTGGCATTCTGAGAGAAGCAAAGGTGAACAACAATAGGCTAGAATTTGTTCCTAAAAGTCATGTTCAAATCTTGTGAGTCTGAGTTAAATGGCATCTCTTCCTTGAGCTTCCTTCTGTAAGACAACATGCTAGTTGCTTATTTTCCCAATTTTTCCAGATTATTTTCGGTGTGTGTGTGTGTGTGTGTGTGTGTGTGTGTGTGTGTTGCTGAGGATGAAATCCAAGACCTCACACATGCTCCGCAAGTGCTCTACCATTGAGTTACTTTCAAGTTTTTATCTAGACTCCTTTTTCTTATATAGTTCTTCCTCTCCTCACAACGACACTTTCTTTACATTTTAAATTGAAATCCCTTTTTTTTCTTTAAGAGAAACATGATTATACAGGACAGGTCAACAAAGGGATAAATCATCCATGGACTAACAAACACTATTAGCAGACAGTATTAGTACTGTCTGCTTCTTAAGTGGAAAAAGCTAATAATTGCTCTCGCCAACCTTACTTGAGCCTACAATTTCTAAGCAATCATGGTTATAAAAATGCTTCTCTTATTTTTTCCACAATTTGTTTTGGTTGCTGTTGTTTCTGCTGTTTGTGTTTCTGTGGTGGTGGAATGGAACCCAAGATCCTATACATGTGAGACAACTACCCCACCACTAAGCTGCACCAGCTCCTGCTTTCGTTTTCCTAAGAAGGAATTTTAGCCTTGCAAAATTTATATTCATCTAATTTTTTCTTTTTGGTTTTGTTCTTCAAGTACAAATAAGATCCAAGACATTTCTTAAGTAGAAAATCTCTAGTTATTTTCCCATAGTCGTAGATCTTATTAATACCGTGGTTAAAGTGATTAACTCAAATTTGATCCTCTCAAACTAAAACAGCAATCTTCCTTGGGCTATAATCACAGAAGTTATGGAAATTTTAAAAGCAGACTGAAATCATAACGTTTTGAAATAGAGGGTGGAGAGATTGATTTCTATGGCCTTAAATTCTCCTGGTTCATTATTTTAAAATTTTTAATTATACTGACAATTTAAAAAATACTTGCCATATGAGAATGTTTAAATATATTTTTTTGTTTGTTTCTTTTTTAGTCTGAGGACTAAAGAGAAAATCTTTGAGGTTGAGCTAAACAAATTGTTATTTACCAAGTGTAGACAAATTTCATGCATGTGACTGGAGCAGTGACAGTCGTGAGAACGCTCATTTGGAATCTACTCCTCTTCCATCGTGTCTTCCTTCTGGGTGGTCTATGTGGCTGGCAACTCTTGGTGGTCTTTTATTCGTGTTATTACTTTGCACACCTTGTCTCAGCACTGAGTCATGGGTGACCAGCACAAGAAGCAGTCCACCTACACCCAGCAAGAATGAACTGCTAACCAACGTCAAGTGGTAAATGATCAAATTGCCATCCTTAGTTCTGAAACCATTTTAACATAAATGGTTAAAGTGGCACATGGATGAAAGCTCAGACCACACAGCCGGTTCCCAAGTATTTCATCAGCAAACTGTCTGAAGAACACTCCAAGAAATGCGATCACTGCTCAATCATATTCCCTGCCTGCCCCTTCTCTTTGTTGCTGGTGGAGGTAGAAGGAATTATGATAGCTTGAAGGTTTTATTTTCTTTCCTCTTTCTGCATATGTGTATGTGATATGTATGTGTGCGCAAGTGTATATGTGCACATGTGCACAGGTACATGTGGAGGTCAGAGGTTAATGTAGGGTTTGTTTTTCAATTGCTCTCTACCTTACGTTTTGAGACAGAATCTCTTACTGAGCCTGGAGCTCACCATCTGGGCTAGCAAGCCCCATGGATCCTCCTGTCTCTGCCTCCTCAGCCTTAGGATTATAGACATGTGCCACCATGCCTGGGTTTTTTACATGAGTTCTGGGTATCCAAACTGAGGTCCCCACTTTACCCACTGAGCCATCTCCTCAGCCCCTATTTTTATTTTTCTTTCTTGAAAATGAACATTACTGCTCATGAATTTCCAAGTCAGGGACAGAAGACACCCTTACAACAGACAAGCTGTACATGTTCTCCATTAGGATGACTAGAGCTGCAGTTTGGGCTCTGATCATGGTTCTCCATTTCCTGACAAAGAAATAGGGCTGCTCTTCTGTTAACAAAGAAGGAAGGAAGTATCCTCCCAAAGACCTTGGAGGGACCTCCATCTTACCTTTGAGCTACACTTGTACAATGGGTGACTGATCGAATCGACATAGTGGTGCCTCATGCAGCGTTGAGGGTTCGAGTCCATCAGGAACGAGGTATCTGTTTTGCTGTCTGTATCTCCCATTATGGCCAGCAGGGAGAGCATAGAAATGGATGCAGCTAGTACATGATTTCTCATTGTTGTAAAGGGAAACGTCTCCAGAAGAACAGCAGAGGGAGACACAGGACCAAAAATTGGAAATGCCTTCACCTCCTAGGATCCAGTTCCTTGCAAGGCAAGGACAGGATCTGCCTGAAGCGTTCTGGTTGTCATTGTCCTTTGTATGCCGGAGTTTTGTCTTACTCTTTACACTTGCAATCCACCATCAGATTATCTGCTGCACAGCTGGAATGAAAACAGAAATTATTTTCCCCAGAAATATTTACCCAGAAACACCTATGGAACACAGGAGATAGGAAATCAAATATTTTAATGTAATTTTGAGTGAGAAGATTGGTTTCTAGAATGTTATTAACATGAGCTAGCATCCATTTCACTTCCCCTCATTCTAGTGCTTAGGCCATATATTTTTAACCATTTGGAGATGGATGCAATAGTTCAGTGGAACCATATGTTGATTTTAATTGCTAGAGCCCATGGAGGAAGCCCATGTTTCTGGCCACAGCATAACTAAGTTGGGTGGTCTCATCGTTGTCTTTGGTTGGCAGGGTAAGGGGAGTTTATTCAGATTCTCTGGAAGCATTGGTATCAACAGCAGCTTACAGGGCTGGAGAAGAGGCAGGTCAGCACTAATGAACAGAGGCCATAGTTCAAGGGAGCAGATTTTCCATTTCCAAGTCCATGCCCACCCACCCACCTAATTTTCCACTTTTGTGTTCTGGACTCATCCTGTTTTTGTTTTAAGTCCCATGCCACCCAGCATCAATGGCCAACTACATCTGAAATCCACATTATGCTAACTGGCCTCCAGCATGGTTAAGGAAGCACATGTGTATTTCCCAATAGAGTTACAGATTTCTGCCCAGCCTTTGTAACCAAAGCCCACAGTGTAATTTGAACAAGAAAGTGGTCGTTGGAGCAGATACTTACCATTAAAGTGGGATTATGCTGGACTGAAGTTCCTGAAATTTGCTTTGTTCTTTTAACCATACGTCTTGGTCTTTGACTGGAGTCCAGATATCTACTCAAATCACCTCACTGATGCTTTTCATTATACCAAAAGACACAGAGTACCAAAAATATTTTTGAAACATTTAGGAAAATTGAGAGAACCTGACCTTACATCCCAAACCAAAATAATGGGATAATTAAAGCTTCAGAAAAACTTTCAAAGGTATTTCAGACCAAAGTTTGATTGTTTTGTTCATAGTACAACTATTTTTTAAACTTCCTATTCATGAACAGTCTGGATAAACAGGGTAAAGTGTAGAGATGATCAAGATAAGAAGTTCAAGGTGGTATAAGTCAATTTTGTTTTGCTGTATCAGAGTGTGGCCTCAGATTCACTTAGCTGTAATTAACCATCTTGTAAATATGGGAAAGGGGGTCCTGCATGGAAGAAGGTGTGTGCAATAACACTTTTTCTGAGCAGAGCATCCCTGGTAATAGCCAAGGCTGAGAGTCTGTGTTTTCGGAAAGTACTATAAATTGTAGAAAGAGCAGGGACCAATAATGAGAGGGCCCACCTGCACTAAGTCATGGGACCACCATTAATCAACTGTGGCACCTTGCACAGCTCACTTAAATTCTTCCAGCCCTTTTCCTCATCTACGGGGTAGAGGAATTGATAGAGATAGCGCCTGCTGTCCCCTCCTGCTCTAAAATGCCAGCACTGAATAGCAATGGATTCAGCTAGCTCCATCTCCCACCTCCATATGCAGAAGATAATCTTAAAGTCGAGAAGACTCTGCTCTCACTTTTCTTTATGTACATGTTAATGGCAACATCTTATTAAAATGGATCAAGCCTATATCCAAAGATCTCAATGGGCAAAGGCTGCATAAAAATATTTATTTGAAGGGTGATTGGATTTGATCAGTGCATGCAGTATAGCAATATCACACTGACGCCCATTAATATATCCAATTACTATGTATTAGCAACAAAAACGAGTATATGGAAAAATATTTTAAATTATCTTTATAATTTATGTTTTTCATATACACCAGACTCTGAAATTCACCAAGACTTCAGCTCAAAGTGCCAGAACTTTCTTGGGGTCCATGTTCAGAGAATACACTGTTACTAACCATTTCCTGCATTTCAATATGACTCAATTATCCCAAGTGGTTATCTGTCTCTTTGAAGCCTTAATTAGTTTCAGAAAAAGAATTGATTTGATTTCTCTTTCCACCACTCTAGTCTACAGATATTTCCCTTAGGAGTCAATGGCAAAAGGATGAAGGGAAAAGCAAATATTGCAATCCTGGCCCTCCTTCCCCAATGCCAGTAACTTCCCTTCAGAGCCATGGCCAGGAGGGACTGTTAGAGATACAAAGAAAATTAAAGAAAAACAAGTATGGCATGAAGGAAAAATCAAGCGACACCAGTAACAAATCTCTGCAGATATGTAGGTATGGTTTATTTGTTGACATTTCTATTAGCGTCCCAAGAAAGAGAATTCAAAGAGCCCTTAAATGTAGAAGATGAGCTCTGAGCCTCATTTAGGAGAATTTAAGTAAGCTGCAATACTTTGTTCAATCAGATTTACAGCTTCCAAAGTCTGATGAATAAGTCTATAGGAAGACAGGCTCATTTTGGAAATGGTACAGTATAAATTGATACAAACTTGGCGATATCATTTTTTAATTTTTTTGAGACAGAGTCTCACTGCATATGTGTGGCTGCCTTAGAACTTGCTATGTAGACCAGGCTGGTATCAAGCTCATAGAGATCCACCTGCTTCTGCCTCCTGAGCATTGAGATTAAAGGCATGTATCCGCACACCTGACACCAATATGTTTTAAAAACGTAAATGCAACAGTTTAGATGCAACAATTCTACTTCTTCAAAATATACTGGATATGAAACCATATAAGCACATGGCTATAGCAGTTTAACAGTGGAAGTGGCACAAAATATCCACTGATAGGGGATAGGTTAATCATAGCGTGCTATATTCATAGACTGGAATGCTAACTAACTGAAGAAAGGTACAGAAACTTGGTAGAAATTTGCATTAAAACAGCGAGGGATGGGAATATATATTTACATTTGCAGAGGGAGATTTTGGGAGGAATTTCTAGAAGCATCCTGTTTCAAGGAATTCCTTGGTCGTTGTCTCCAAGGAACTAATGATGCCAAGCATGGTGTCATGCACCTGTAATCCCAGCACTGAATAACATTAGGTGGGACAATCATGAGTTTGAGGCCTGCGTAGGCTACATAAGAGGACCCTGTCTCAAAATGCCAAGCAAACAAACAAAACAAAACAAAACAAAACAGAATCAAAGCCAACCAAACCAACTCTTGAGAGAAAATCTTTTCACTAAATACCTTTTGGGTTTTGAGATTTTTGAATTTGTAAACATAGCATCTATTCAAAATTTCATTAAAATAAATAATGCTTTCTCCTTTGTAAACATCAGCTTACAACTGGTAAGCCAATGACTGTTCAACTGTGCCATCGTGTTCTAATAATATTCTATTTTTATTTTTTACGAACATGAGGAGATGGCCTATTCTCTTTTCTTAGTCAAATATTCTCTGGGGTGGACTATTCAGTTCTTCCACACTACTTCTATCTGGTCACCATCCTGAATTTAAGCCTTTCCCCTGAGAAGATATTTTTTGCAAAGCAAATACTATGAAGTTTATACTGATAAATAAATATTAATATTACATTCAGTGTAGCTCTGTGAACTGGTTTTCTTGTGTATGGATATGTGTTACACATACCTGTTCATGTAGGTGTGTGCACATGTGGACAGGTGTGCATGAAGGTCAGAGGTCAATGTTGGGTATCGTCCTCTATTGTGCTCCACCTTACTTTTTGAGAAGGAACCTCTCAGTGAACCTGGAAGTCATCAGTTTGGCTAGGCTGGCTAGCCAAGAAGCTCCAGGGATGCTCCTATCTCCATAGCCCTCCCCACCCAGTGCTGGGGTAATAGACCAAGCCACCATGCTTGGTCTTCCGGTGGGTGATGGAGATCCTTATTCACTCCAGTCCTTACGCTTCAGCAGCAGGGTCTTTGCCGACTGAGCCATTTCTCCCGCCCTGTGAACTCGCTTCCTTTTTTGAGGTGAGAAGCTAAACTCAGAAGTAGTAACTAACGATAAAAGAGTGACAGAAAAAAAAAATGTCACTTCACTTCTAGTTCCAAGCTATTAACTTTCACAAGGTGTAATATTTGTATTCATTTTCTACTAAACACCAAAACAATAATGTAAGCAATGTTAAAATGCTATAGAATTCACCAAACATTCAAAATGAAAACTAAGATCTTTGCAACATAACTGTGGAATTTGATTTTTTTTTTGAGATGGGGTCTCACTTGGGACCCACTCGAGGTCCCAAGGAGTGTTAGAAATTACAGGACTGGGGCTGGAGAAATGGCTCAGTAGTTAGGAACACTGGTTGTTCTTGCAGAAGACCTGAGTTCAAATCACAACACCCACATGGCAGCTAACAACTGTCCGTAATTCCAATTCCAGGGGATCTGACAACCTCTTCTGTCATCCTCAGGCATTGCATGACACAGGTTCACTTACATACATGCAGGCAATACATGCATACACATAAAATAAAAAATAAATAAATAAAATATTTTAAAAAGTAATTACAGGACTATACCAAAACATCTGACAACACCTGAGATTAGTGTTCTGTTTTGCTTTTGCCTTAAGTATTCAAAGTGAATGAGCCAATACTGCTGAGTTGAAGAAGAAATAAAAAAATAAAGGCTATGAAAGGAACAATATTGAGTCAAGTTGTGGGGACATTGTGTTGGTCATGCATGCCTAGGTGAGAATCTGCAGCAGGGGCACAGACTTACATGGGGGAAAATGAAGAACTAAGGAAATGTACACTAGTGGAATCCTTGCTTTCTGACAGCTTAGGAGTACCTCTGCATTATGGGGACTTCTGTCATTTTCTTGAAACTGAATTAATTCATTTGTCTTTTTTTAAGCCATGTGTAACAACCCCAAATGCTGGCTATCAGGATTTAAGACCTCAACTAGCCAGCTGAGTAAGTTAAATAAGAAAGTTCTCTTGCTGAACTCAGTACACCTGTGGCCTCTGTGTTTCAATACAGTCTCCAAGATCTGAACTTGGCCACAGTACAGAGACGACGTTCTCATATCTCCAGTGCAGAGTCTTTGTAGCAGGAGAGGCACGCAGTCCAGTGTGCCCAACTTTGGAGCTACCCTCCAAACACTACCAGTGGAAAAGAACAACTGCTGCCCAGAGTTCCCCACCTGTCATTCTCATCGAAATAATATAGCAGCCTCCTGGGTGAGAGATGGTGTTGTGCCTACAGATCAGCTCACTCTTGGGTTGACATTCTGCCTGGCAGAGAGTAAAACACTGGCTTCACCCAAGTGATTCCAGAAACAAAGACAACTGGCATGTACTAAGAACAGCCTTATGCTTGCCCTATGTGCCAGGCAAAGGAGGGCAGTGCTTTATTATCCATAGTTCTCCCTGGGCTGTTTTCAGTACTGAACTAGGTTGGTGTTCCCGCCCATGGCTTCTTTCAATAAATATTCATTCAACACATATTCATGCATTGTGCACCTACTATGTGACTCCTTTTGTTCTGGCAGATAAAACATATAGGATCGGGGTGTTAGGGAGCACAGATCACATCCCAAGGCCCTGGGTTCAATCCCTAACACCAAAAAATGTAAAAAAGGGTGGGGGGAAAAACAAGTCCTGCCAAATAGCTCTACTGCAAAGAATCTTGGCTTGTTACTTTGCTGTGTCATCACAGCACTGACACACTCCCATTTACCACCTAATTCATATCTAACATGCACTGCCTCGTTTCTCAGATCTACTGCAGCAGATAAAATACAATGATTTTGGAATGGACTCCATGTATCAAACAGAATGATTTGTTGTTTATTACAATTTTTAAATTCTCATGAGCCAGAAATAAGGTAAAGATGGTTGAACACAGAGTCAAAGGAATTGCAAAGAGAGAAAAAAATTAAAAGAGTGTCAGTGTGGAAGAAGACTTGCTACTAGATAACACTTCATA